AGGCCAGGCGGCAGCCCTGGCACCATCTTCCTCACACAGGACATCTGTTCCATATGCAAATCCTGCCAGCTTTTCCTTGAAAACATCCTGAGTCGCTCTGTCCTCACTACCCACACTACCTCCCTCTAGCAAGGCACGGGCCTCTTTCCTAGACTGTTCCAGTAACCTCCACCCTTCTAGTCTTCACACAGCGCATCCTGAGTGAGCCTTGGGCATGGAGATCACATCACTCCTTGCTCACGTCCCTCCCCTGCTGTACCCAGAAGTCCGTAGTGTCCTGGCCTCCCTTCCCTGGTTGGTCCCAGCTTCTGTCCGTCTCTTCCCAGTGACTGCACTCCCACTCCACCACTCTCCTTGCTGACCCTCAAGTGTGCCAAGCATATTTGGTCTTAAAGCCTTCACTCTTGCTTTCTGTCTGCATCTGCCTCCGGTGTTCTCCCCAGCAAGTTTCTTGACAATATTTTGGGGTCTGCTCAAATCTCATCTTTAGAGAGGCTCTCCCTCTCCGCTTTAAAAATCACAGCCTGAAGCCAGGCATGGTGGCTCAGGCCTAAAATCCCAGCACTTTGAAAGACCAAGGCGGGTGGATCACTTGAGGTCAGGAATTTGAGACCAGCCTGGCCGACATGGTGAAACCCATCTCTACTAAAAATGTAAAAATTAGCCCAGCGGCCGGGCGCGGTGCCTCACGCCTGTAATCCCAACACTTTGGGAAGCCAAGACGGGCAGATCACCTGAGATCAGGAGTTCAAGACCAGCCTGGCCAACATGGTTAAACTCCATCTCTACAAAAATACAAAAATTAGCCAGGTGTGATGGCGGGTGCCTGTAATCCCAGCTACTCAGGAGGCAGAAGAATTGCTTGAACCCAGGAGGTGGAGGTTGCAGTGAGCCGATATCATGCCATTTGCACTCCAGCCTGGGCGACAGAGTGAGACTCCATCTCAAAAAAAAAAAAAAATTAGCCCGGTGTGGTGGCACATGCCTGTGATCCCAGCTACTCAGGAAGCTGAGGCAGGAGAATCACCTGAACCCAGGAGGCTGAGGTTGCAGTGAGCCAAGATGGTATCACCGCACTACAGCCTGGCCAAGAGGGAGACTCCACCTTAAAAAAAAATCACAGCCCGCCTGCCTCCCCTCCCCAGTACCTGCTTGGTTTTCCAGCACAGCACTGAGCATCAGTGAGTTGTCTACTTGTTTACTGGTTTTTCTCTCCCACTAGAAAAGAAACTCCAGGAGGGAATTATTTATTTACAATAGTCCCAGTGACTAGAAGAGTGCCTTACAGCAGTGCTCATGAATATGTGCTGAATGAATGGATGACTTTCTGTTGGGTGTCAAATACTATCTTGAATCTCGAACTGAACTTACCCAAAAGAGAACTTTTTTCTTTAGAATTTTTTTTTTTTTTTTTTTTTTTGCTACAGGGTCTCACTCTGTCACCCAGACTGGAATGCAGTGGCATGATCTTGGCTCACAGCAACCTTCACCTCCCAGGCTCAAGTGATTCTCCTACCTCAGCCTCCCTAGTAGCTTGGATTACAGGCACACGCCACCACGCCCGGCTAATTTTTGTGCTCTTAGTAGAGATGGAGTTTCACCATTTTGGCCAGGCTGGTCTCAAATTCCTGACCTCAAATGATCCACCCACCTCAGCCTCCCAAAGTGCTAGGATTACAGGAGTGAGCCACCACACCTGGCCAGAAAATGTTTAATCTCCACTTCTAAGTTCAAGAACAGGAACAATGGATGGTAGGATACTTTTTAAATATAGAAATTAGTTATGTTGACATTTTCCAAAATACTTGCAATCTGATAATAGCCCCTACTTTATACTGACCTCCTCCACATTTATCAGTGCTACTATTTGTATTTCTATCTACATCTATGTTCTTCTACCTTTTCCCTGAACTTTGTGAAGCCGAGGTGGGAGGATCACTTGAGCCCAGGAGTTCAAGACCAGCCTGGGCAACAGAATGAGACCCTGTGTCAAACACTGACACACACACACACACACACACACACACACACACACACACCACACCCCTCCAAGCATAGAGGCCTTTTTCAGTGTTCTTCCCTACAAGGCAAAAAATCTTGAAAATCATAATGCTAACCATAATCCAGATTTATTGCTTAACAAATTCCCTATTCTCTTTAGCCTTGGGAATCACTGAAATGACTCTGACTTAAATAATGAGCATTTAAATATTAGTTGGTCTTTGCAGCATAAAAGATATTTGAAGTCCACTTTGTTTCACAAACCCGGCTACATCCCCCTTTTAAAATAACAACACACAGGCCTCCCGTTTTTTTTTTAAACTTTCTGAAAAGAGCTAAATGCATGCAATGGATTAGAATATATACTGTTTTTTGAAAGACTATAAATAAAATAATTACAGTTGTTGTACAAAAAGGATATGACTCATTGATAAAATTTAGGGCAATCAAAATGCAAGACATGCTTATTATTATTGTTTGTAGTAGTGGTAGTAATATTTAGAGACGGTCTCATTCTGTCACCCAGCCTGGAGTGCAATGGTGCAACCATAGTTGACTGTAACCTCAACCTTCTGGGTTCAAGCGATCCTCTTGCCTCAGGTTCCTGAGTAGCTAGGACTACAGGTGCACACTACCGTGCCCAGGTGATTTTTTAAAAATTATTTTTTGTAGAAATGGGGGTCTCACTGTATTGCCCAGGCTGGTCTTGAACTCCTGGCCTCAAGCAGTACACCTGCCACAGCCTTCCATAGTGCTGGAATTGCAGTCACGAGCCACCCCACCTGGCAAGACATGCTAAAATAATACCATGGCAATGTGAAAGGATGAGTGAAAAATGTGGTCAAGCTCATAACCTCGAATTGACAAGAGATTTGTGTAGCAAGTATCTACCAAGGCTGAACAAATTGATGGCCACTTCATGCATTGAAGCGTAATTTCCAAAATAGGTCTCATGCTCTGGCTTGATCACTTTACTGAATTACGTATGTGAATGAATGTATGCTCTCATCAGTACCGAGAGGGCCTCTCTAATGGGTAGGCGTGCCATCAGAATCCAAATAGTACCTGGAAATCAAGTGGGGGTGAGAGAGCTCTGTGTATATTATTTGGGACATTATATCCACCAGAGGTTGAGGTTTCAGAGATCAAACACTGCTCATGATAGATACGGGAGGTTTTCAGGATGCTCCCTAGTGTTAGAAAGGACTGAAGTTATTCATTCTTTCATTCCATGTATTGCATAGCTACAATACGCCGAGCACTGGCCTGGGCGCTGTGGCTGCAACAGAGGACAGAGAGGGAGGGCTCCTTTCCTGTCCTCATGCAGAGTATATTTCAGTGATAGATGATAATCAGTTAAGCAGTAGATGAGAATAACAATAATGTCACATTTTGATTAAAATCTTTGGAAGAAAGGTGAGGTGAACGACAATGTCATTGAGGGCCAGTTTTAAGCAGCATAATCAAGTTTCCAAAGAAGTGATATTAAGTTGGTGCAAAAGAAATTTCAAAAACCACAATTACTTTTGCAACAACCTCATATTTGAGATGAGAAATATGAACAGAAATATGAAATATTTGAAATACGTGAAATTTGCACATAGGAGCTTTGCACGCAAGAATCAGTCACGGGTGTGTAGTATTGGTCACTGCGTTGTGGGGAGGTGGCCACACACCAGCGAGCCGGAACCTGTGGATGCTCCAGGTGCTTCACGCCTGCCATTGTAAATGGCCTGATGCTTGAAGCCACAGCCTGCATTGCTTCATATGCTATGGAACCGAATTCACCATCTGGCCCAGCTACTTCCAAGCAGGAGAGAGCTGCTAATCCCTGCTCCCTGGACTCCACCATCCCTCAGTATGACATAGCCTCCCTGCCTTCCCCCTCATGCCATTCTGTAGTCTCTCTCCCACACACACTAGTGAACCTTTATAAGAACGTCTTCATTTTAGGCTGGGCGCAGTGGCTCACGCCTGTAATCCCAGCACTTTGGGAGGCTGAGGCAGGCAGATCAAGAGGTCACATTGAGACCAGCTGGCCAACATGGAGGAACTCTGTCTCTACTAAAATACAAAAACTTAGCCGGGCATGGTGGCACAAGCCCGTAGTCCCAGCTACTTGAGAGGCTGAGGCTGGGGAATTGCTTGAACTGACTGGGAGGTGGAAGTTGCAGTCAGCCGAGATTGTGCCACTGCACTCCAGCCTGGGTGACAGGGTGGGACTCCATCTCGAAAAAAAGAAAAAGAAAAAAGAAAACCTAGTAAAAAGAAAATTTTCAGGAAATAAAGTTTTTTAAAAATAACAGTGTCTTCAGTGGACTCCATCACACTTAGTCGGAATTCCTCAGCACTGCCTAAAACATTCCAGTTAGGCAGCTCTCGCTGTTCTCGTTTCCCACCACTCCCCCACCCAATAACTGCACTCGTTACCACCGCCTCCCAGCTCTTCCTTCAGAATGTCAGGTACATGCCTGTCTCCAGGCCTTTGCTTGCAGTGCCTTCTGCCCAGAATCCCCTCGCCCTGGATTCCGTCTGGCTCGCTCAGTTCATTTAGATCTGTCCAATGGCACCTCCTCAGAGAATCCTCCCTCCCCGCCCTTCCCTCAGCCACAGTGTGTCTGCTTTTCCTACTTCACCTGTCCTTAGGGCAGTGCTCTACCTAACATTTTTATGCTTGTGTATTTTTTTGTTTGGGTATTTGTTTATTGTCTGTTTCTGGGAAGAGAACAGCATGGTGGGAAAGGTTTTGCTGGGGAGGTGGGGATTGGTGTGAAGCATCAGAAAGAACGCTGGGTTTGGAATCAGAATCCTAGGCCTTGGCCCTGTCTGTTACTTATGTAAGACCTTGGTCAAGTCACCCCACTTTTCCAAGCACCTGTCAATAATAAGGATCATAATTGACTTTCACTGAGTCACAGAAATGCTGAACGGCACTGTGTAAAACAAACTGTAAATCACATTCAAAGTTTCATAATTAACTTTTTTATCCCAGATAAACTGAAAGTACTGTGCCAGGCACTGTGCCAAGCATTTTACATGTGTTATATTATTCACAAAAACTTTTTGCGTCAGGTATTATGTTCCCCATTTTTCAGATGAGGAAAATAAAGTTCAGAGATGCTTTCCTTGCTCAAATTCAGCTACTGGTAAATCTAGACTTGAACCTCGGTCCTCAGCTTCCAGGCCCCAGAGAAAGTAATAAGCTGTGATGGTTATACTGGGTAAAGTGGCCACAATTTCCAGATTGCAAAATTGGTCCTGTAAAGCAACCGTCAGGGATGAAATTGGTAAGCTTGGAGGCTGCCAGAGAGCTGTCTTATTTATAAGTAAGGTGATTTCTTAAGTGTGTTTTTCCATTTATACTACAAAGTATAGTAATCTGTATTTTACTTGTTACTGACTGTATCTGTTAAAAGCACACTTCAACAGTTCTAATGGATTGAAAAATGGATGCGAAATTATTAGGCCCCCAAATCAGCTTGACGAATATGCAGTGATTGTTTTGCCACTCGAGTTTCTTCACTGGCAGAAAATATGCTACGTAGACAACTAGCAGTTTTCTCTGATTTAGTATTAATCAAAGGTTTTCACTGTGTCTGTCGAGTTATACTGGATTCCTCTCGTACATCCCTCTGAGTCCCCCTTTTCCTGCAGCCACTGCTACAGTGGCTAGTCCTACACAGGCTCTGCTGACTAGCTTTGGGCAAATGCTCTGCCTTGGGCCCACATCAAGTATGTATCCCTTCCTGCCATAGAGCTTCTCTGGTGCTTCAGTGTGGAATGTCCATAGGAATCTACTTTGAACTCAGGAATGCACAATCAGGATATAACAGGGAGCTAAAGCCCATACCGTTACCCTTGACCAATGGATTAAAGGAGTCAATGGGCAGATGCTACCTCCTTTGATTCCCAGAGCAGAACAGTTTAGAGATGCATGTCATAAGGCTTTTTCGGAAGGTGCCGGCAGAATGGAGCACCCGTTGTGCATTGGGCTGGCCAGCTGAATAAAGCGTCCTTGTACTGGTTTCCCCCTTGCTTGTTCTCTTCCTCATCTCATCCTACTGCTCCGGAAGCTCGCATTTGCACTCAGACCACCTGCATACAATCCTCGTCTCATGTTCTGCTTAGGGGGTGGAATCCAGGCTAAGAAAATGTGTATTTAAGTGAATCCTCAAAAACAGCAATAAAGAATTTGCTGTTGGTGGGAAATGGCATCAAAATTACCAGAGTTTTCCCTGTGTTGGTTTGGGATGAGGTTCAAGGTGGAAGGGGAAACATGATGCGATGTCGGGTGCTTGAACAGTATGAAAGCAATGATATTTAAAAGACATGGAATTGGCTGGCTTTTGTTAACTTATTTGAAAGACTTGGAAAAAATATGACAAGCCTAGGTAAGCCAATTATCAGCCTGAGGTGTGCTTGGAAGTCAGAGGACCAGAATGGATGGTAAACCAATGCAAACAGTGTAAACTAAACCAAGTAACAGCTCCAAGTACAGCTGCTCTGCCAGTTGTGTTATCTTTTCTAAAACAGATCAACATAGCCCCTAGCCCTTTGTATGTGGCTTTTGATGTGGCAAACACATTATTCCCTTCTATAAGGAATATCAAAAACATGTTTACATAGGAAGGACATTAGTACAGCCTCTCTTACCCCAAAGCTATATTAACTCTCTTGCTCTTTGTTACAATATAGTCTGCAGGGAGGTGCTGCCAGGGAAGACGGTAGAATTGGAAGCTGTCAGGAATCTATCCACCTGTCTTTCTGCCAGTACAACAGTTGTACTGGCAGAAACAGTCTCAAGTAACCATTTTGGAATTCAGTTTATTTGAACGTTTGAAACTTCCAGGGAACAGTGTGGCTGGGAAATTGCGGTTGATATCAGCTATCAGTGTAGCGGCAGGCAGCTGGGGAATGGCGGCTCTCATCTCCGGCACACCTTGCTGGAGCTTCATTGCTACAATGGGCAATAATGATCTTTTTCTTCAAATAGTGGGCTTCTGTGTTCTGACATGATTGCTGTTTGATCACTGATTAGTGAGTAAAGAGTTTGGGTGTAATTGTATGAATTCCTCCCAGCCGAAGCAGCTTCCAGGCGATTTAAAGGAACTATGCCTGTTTGTCTGTCTTTGGACATTCAGCAACAAGCATGTATATGGGGAAATGTGGAAAGCCAGTATGCATGCCTAGGAAAAGACACAGGCTCAGAAAAGACATGAGAAGACATTAAGCTTTTACCTCAAGCTGGTTCCTGGCACAAATACTCCATGCAACAATCACAAGACAGCAAACCCAGGGTAAGAGGGAGAATCTGTTTTCCAGAGTTTCCACATTATAAGATTCAAATGTCCACTTTTCAGAATGAACAACCGAACAAAAAGGCATACAAAGAAATAGAAAACTACGGCCCATTCAAAGGAACAAAATAAGTTGACACAAAACAGATGTGAAGCTCAGACATTAGACTTACTAGACAAAGACTTTAAAATAACTATCTTAAGGGTTCAAAGAGCTCAAGGAAGACAGACAAAAATAAGAAAATGATGTATGAACAAAATAAGAGTATCAATAGAGAGAAATTTTACAGGGGAACAAAAAGAAATCTTGAAGCCAAAAAGTACAATAATTGAAATAAAATACACACTAGAAAGTTTCAAAAGTAGATTTGAGCAAGCAGAAGAATCAGTGAACTTAAAAGTTAAATTTCTATAAACTTAATTAGATTGTTACAACTCTAAGACATTAAATGTAATCCCCATGTGACCACAAAGAAAACAGCTGTAGAGTATACCCAAAAGGAAATTAGAAGGGAATAAAAGTTTCACTCCAAGAAATCATTTTTCACTAAATACAAAAGAAGGCAGTATTACAGGAAATGAGGGAGCTAAAAGTCATAAGGTATGTAGAAAACAAATAGCAATATGTCAGAAGGAAGTCCTTCTTATCAGGAATTACTTCAAATGCAAATGGATTAAATTCTCCAATCAAAAAACAGGGATTGGAAAACTGGACTTTACAAACATAATCCAACTATATGTTGTCTGTGGCACTCACTTTGGACCCAGTGACACAAATAGGTTGAAAGTAAAAGGATGGAAAAGAATAGTACATGCAAATAGCTGGTGGAGCTATACTAATATCTGATAAAACAGACTTTAAATTTTAAAAAATTAGAGAAAAATATATATTAATAAACGTATTGATATAACCAGATACATAGCAGTTATAAACATTTACATGTCTAATAACAGATCTTCAAAATGTCCTCTGCACTTTATCTATTTTCATGCCCCCTCATTCGAAGTGTGGCTCAAAATAAAGCTATCAACGTAATACATCAGATTAATGTAACAAAAGGGGAAAACCACATGATCAAGTCAATTGATGCAGACAAGCCATTTGGCAAAATCCTACACCCTTCCATAATTAAAAAAAATACTCTCAGAAAACCAGGATTAGAGAGAAATTTCCTTAACATGATAAAATACCTAAAGATGATTTTAAAAACATCCAATATTATACTCAAGGGTGAAAGACTGAAGGCTTTCCCTCTAAAATCAGGAAGAAGACAAGGGTGCCTGCTTTCACCACTTCTATTCAACATTGTACCAGAAGTTCTAGTCAGAGTTATTAGACAAGAAAAGAAATTAAAAATCAAACTGAAAAGGAAGAGAGGAAACTATCTCTAATCACAAATGATGTGATGTTATATGTAAAAAATTCTAAAGAATCCATAAGCAATTAGAGCTAATAAACAAATACAGCAAAGTCTCGTGCCCTCACAAAGTCAACACACAAAAGTCAGTTGTATTTCTATATGCCAGTGGTAAAAATTAAAATAAAAAAGATTAGGAAAGCAAGTTGAGTCCTATCAGCATTTAAAAGAATTAAATGGGGCCAGGTGCAGTAGCTCACGTAATCACTGTACTTTGGGAGGCTGAGGCAGGCAGATCACTTGAGGTCAGGTGTTTGAGACCAGCCTAGCAAACATGGCGAAATCCCGTCTCTACTAAAAATACAAAAATTAGCTGGGTATGGCGGTGCTCACCTGTGGTCCCAGCTACTTGGGTGGCTGAGGCATGGGAGTTGCTTGAACTCAAGAGGTGGAGGTTGCAAGGAGTAGAGATTGTGCCACTGCACTCCAGCCTGGGCAATAGAGTGAGGCTCTGTCTCAAAAAAAAAACAAAACAAAACAAAAACATTTAAGTACTTAAAAATAAATCTAACCAAGGAGTTGAAAGGCTTAGACACAGAAAACTACAAAACACTATTGAAAAAAGTTTTAAAACACACTGAAAATAAATATTAAAAATAAATAAACAGAACACCGGTGAACTGTGGGAAAATATCAAGGGATCTAAAGGATTAATATTCATTTTTCTTTTGTCCAAGGAACTTCCTTTAACATTTCTCTTCTTTTTTGAAATAGGGTCTGACTCTGTCACCCTGGCTGGAGTGCAGTGGCAGGATCATGGCTCACTGCAGCCTCAGTCTCCTGGGCTCAAGCAATTTCCCCCACCTTAGTCTCCCAAATACTTGGGACTACAGGTGCATACTACCACACGTGGCTAACTTTTTAAATTTTATAGAGACAGGACCTCACTATGTTGCTCAGCTGGTCTTGAATTCCTTGCCTTAAGCAATCCTTCCTCCTTGGCCATTATTATTATTACTATTTTTATCATTATTATTATTTTGGAGATGGAGTTTCATTCTTGTCACCCACGCTTGAGTACAGTGGCATGATTTCTACTCATTGTAACCTCCACCTCCTGAGTTCAAGCAATTCTTGTGCCTCAGCCTCCTGAGTAGCTTGGATTACAGGTGTGCACCACCATGCCTGACCAATTTTAATATTTTTAGTAGAGACGGGGTTTCGCCAAGTTGGCCAGGCTGGTCTTGAACTTCTGACCTCAGGTAATTCATCCGCCTTGGCCTCCCAGAGTGCTGGGGTTACAGGTGTGAGCCACCACACCTGGCCATTGTTTTTTCCAATGTTCTGTCCCCTCCTCCTTGTGGGACTCCACTTGCATGTACCTTAAACCCCTTGATATGATGCCACAACTCACTGTTGTTCTGTTTCATGTTTATTTTCAGTGTGTTTTACTTTGGATAGTTTCTATTGTATGCCATCAAATTCCCTAGGGGTCTCCCTCTCCCTCTTTCTATCTCTCTTGCTCATGCTTATCTGCCTTCCTGAATGCAGGCACACTTTGCTTTAGTGCCCTTTGCTTTTTGTGCCTTGGCGGTGTTGCATTTTTTACAAATTGAAGGTCTGTGGCAACCATGTGTCAAGCAAGTGTACCAGTGCCATCTTCCCAGCAGCATGTGCTCAGTTTGTGTCACGTATTGCTAATTCTCACAGTACTTCACACTCTTCATCATTATTTATCTGTTATGGTCCTTTGTGATCAATGATCTTTGATGCTACATTGTACTTGCTTTGGGGCACCACAAACCATGCTCATATAACAAATGTAAGCAGGGTGTGGAGGCTCATGCCTGTAATCCCAGCACTTTGGGAGGCCAAGGTGGGTGGATCACCTGAGGTCAGGAGTTCAAAACCAGCCTGGCCAACATGGCAAAACCCCATCTCTACTAAAAATACAAAAAATTAGCCAGGTGTACTTGTGGCCACCTGTAATCCCAGCTATTTGGGAGGCTGAGGCAGGAGAATTGCTTGAACATGGGAGGCAGAGGTTGCTATGAATCAAGATCATGCCATTTCACTCCAGCCTGGGTGACAGAGTGAGACTGTTTCCAAAAAATACCGAATTTAGTCTATAAATACAGTGTGTGTTCTGACTGCTTCATCAACTGGCCATTCCCTTGTCTCTCTCCCTATCCTCCAGTCTCCTTGTTCCCTGATACGACAATTTTGAAATCGGACCAATTAATGACCTTACAATAGCCTTTAAGTGTCTGAGTGAAGGGAAGAGTTGCATGTCTCTTACTTTAAATCAACAGCTAGAATGATTAAGCTTGCTGAGGAAGGCATGTCAAAAGCTATGATAGGCTGACAGCTTGGTCTCTTCACCAAACAGTTAGCCAGGTTGTGAATTCAAAGGAAAGCTCTTGAAGGAAATTATAATTGTCACTCCAGTAAACACACAAATGACAAGAAAGTAGACAGCAGCCTCACTGCTGATATGGAGAAAGTTTTAGTGGTCTGGATAGATCCAACCAGCCACAGCATTCCCTCTGTCAAAGTCTAATCCAGAGCAAGACCCTAACTCTTTAATTCTGTGAAGGCTGAGAGAGGTGAGGAAGCTACTGAAGAACTTTGAAGCCAGCAGAGGTGGTTTATGATATTTAAGGAAAGAAGCCATCTTCAGAACATAACAGTACACGCAGCAAGTTCTGATTGAGAAGCTGCAGTACGTTATCCAAAAGATCTAGATAAGATCATTGATGGAGAAATCAATGCTTGGCTTCAAAGCATAAAGGACAGGCTGATTACCACTGGGAGCTAATGCACTGGTGACTTTAAGTTGATTCCAATGCTTATTGACCATTCCTAAGATCTATAGTTTTTAAGAATTTTGCTGCAACTCTGCCTGTGCTCTTGAAATAGAACAACAAAGCCTCAGTGACCGCGCATGTGTTTACAGCATGGTTTACTGAATATTTTAAGCCCACCATTGAGACCTATTGCTCAGAAAAAAGATTTCCAAAATATTGCTGCACATTGACAACACACCTGGTCACCTAACAACTCTGATGGCGGTATACAGGAGATGAATATTGTTTTCCTGCCTGCTAACTTAATATTTATCCTGCGGCCTAGGGATCAAGGAATGACTTTGACTTCCAAGTCTTATTATTTAAGAAATACACTTCATAAGGCTGCAGGTACTGTAGGTAGTGATTCCTTTGGTGGATCTGGAAAAGGTAAATTGAAAACCTTCTGGAAAGGATTTACCATTCAAGATGTCATTAGCGTTAGTTAGTCATAAGAGGAGGTCAAAATATCAACATTAACAGGAATTTGGAAGAAGCTGATTTCAATAAAGGAATTTGAGGGGTACAAGACCTCAGTGGAGAAAATCATTATGGATGTGATGGAAACAGTAGGAGAGCTAGAATTAGAAGTGGAGGCTGAAGATGTGACTGAATTGCTGCAATCTCATGATCAAACTTGAATGGATGAGGAGCTGCTGCTTACGATTGAGCAAAGGAAGTGATTTCTTGACATGGAACCTACTCCTGATAAAGATGCTGTGAACATTGTTGAAATAAGGACAAAATATTTAGAATATTACATAGGCCAGGTGCTGTGGCTCATACCTATAATCCCAGCACTTCAGGAGGCCAAGGTGGGTGGATCACTTGAGGTCAGGAATTGGAGACCAGCCTGACCAACAGGGAGAAACCCTGTTTCTACAAAAAATACACCATATTAGCCAGGCCCTGTGGTGGTCACCTGTAATCCCAGCTACTCAGGAGGCTGAGGCAAGAGAATTGCTTGAACTTGGGAGGTTGGCAGTGAGCCAAGATTGTGCCATTGCACTCCAGCCTGGGAAACAGAGCGGGACTCCGTCTCAAAAAAAAAAAAAAAAAAAAAAAGAATATTACATAAACTTAATTGTTAAAGCAGGAGCAGGGTTTGAGAGAGTTATCTCTAATTTTGAAAGAAGTTCTACTATGGGTAAAATATATATATTTTTTGAGATGGAGTCTCTCTCTGTTGCCCAGGCTGGAATGCAGTGGCACAATCTCGGCTCACTGCAACCTCTGCCTCCCAGGGTCAAGTGATTCTTCTGCCTCAACTCCCCGAGTAGCTGGGACTACAGGCACGTGCCACCCTGCCCAGCTAATTTTTGTATTTTTAGTAGAGATAGGGTTTCATCATGTTGGCCAGGCTTGTCTCAAACTCCTGACCTCAGGTGATCCACCCACCTCAGCCTCCCAAAGTGCTGTGATTACAGGCATGAGCTACTAGTGCCCAGCCCCTAATATGGGTAAAATATTACCAAACAGTATTGAATACTAAAGAGAAATATTTCATGAAAGGAAGAGTTGACCTTCATTGCTGTCTTATTTTAAGAAATTTTCTCAGCTACTCCAATCTTAAGCAACCACCACCCTGACCAGTCAGCAGCCATTAACATCAAGGTGAGATCTTCACCAGCAAAAAGACGATGACTTGCTGAAGGCTCAGATGAACGTTAACACTTTTTAAACAATAAATTCTTTTTAAATTAAGGTATGTAAATTGCTTTTTTAGGCATACTGCTATTAAACACTTAATTGACTACTGTATAGTGTGAGCATAATTTCTTGTTTTTAGAGATGGAGTCTCACTGTGCTGCCCAGGCTGGAGTGCAGTGGTGTGATCATAGCCCACTGCAACCTGGAACACCTGGGCTCAAGCAATCCTCTCACCTCAACCTCCCAAGTAGCTAGGACTGCAGATGTGTGCCACCATGCCCAGGTAATATTATTTTTCATAGAGATGGGGTCTCACTGTGTTGCCCAGGCTGTCTAGAACTCCTGGCCTCTAACCAGCCTCCTGCCTTGGCCTGTAAGCCTCACTTTTATATGCACTGAGAAACCAAACAATTCATGTGACTGCCTTTATTGTGTTATTTGCTTCATTGCAGTTATCTGGAACCAAACCCACAATATCTCAAAGGTGTATCTGAATATAGGCTTTTCAAACATCCTTATCTCCACCTTCTAGTATCTCTGTTGTTTTTGAATCCAGGTTTACTGGTTGAGTTTTCTTTCATTCAGGATCCATATTTTTCTATTTCTCTGCATGCCTGAACTTTTTTTTTGGGGGGGGGGAGATGGAGTTTCACTCTTCTTACCCAGGCTGGAGTGCAATGGCACAATCTCGGCTCACCGCAACCTCTGTCTCCTGGGTTCAGGCAATTCTCCTGCCTCAGCCTCCTTAGTAGCTGGGATTACAGGCACGCGCCACCATGTCCAGCTAATTTTTTGTATTTTTAGTAGAGACGGGGTTTCACCATGTTGACCAGGATGGTCTCGATCTGTTGACCTCGTGATCCACCCTCCTCGGCCTCCCAAAGTGCTGGGATTACAGGCTTGAGCCACTGCTCCTGGCCACCTGAACATTTGTTATCGGATGCTGGGCATCATGAATTTTGCCAAGTTGGTTGCTGTGTCTTGTCGTGTTTGTTTAGTGCTGGATTTTGCGTCT